GCAGCGCCCCCACGGATCTTCCCAGGAACGGCAGAGACTCCAGGGACCCTCCCAGGAGTGGAGGCAACCTGAGGGGGCCCTTTCAGCGCGGCGACGCCCCCAGGGGTACTTCCAGAGGGTGGTGGTGCCTCCAGAGACCCAACCAGGGTTAGTGGCTCCCCCAGGGACACTCCCAGCAACAGCAATGCCCCCAGGGAAATCCCAGGGACCCTCCTAGGAGCGGTGTCGCCGCCAGGGCCCCTTCCAGGGACCCTAACTTGGGTTGCCAAGGGCCCTCTGGCATTGTTGGTTTGTTGTGTCATATATATTACATACTTCTAGCAGTCCCTTACTGAACTATGATTGGTGGTCTATTCCTTCAACCCACCAAATTACAGCCAATAGGAGAAGAGAGCAGCCTGTCAGCAAAACACCACAACTTATGTTTTCCTGTTGGATATTATTCTCCAATACCTTATTCAGAGTGCGATGATACTGGAAATGAGATGGGCGGTGTATATTTATTTAACGTTGCATCTCCCAGAGTTCTATATAGCGCAAAAACTACTGCACCCACGGGCCCGACAGGTCTGGTGCTCCCAGAAATTTCCTAGGGTTGGCGGCGCTTCCAGGGGCCATTTCAGTTAAGGCAACGCCCACAGGGACCGTCTCAGCGGCCGTGGAGCCCCCAGCGACTTCCCCAAGGGTGTCGGCGCACCCAGGTACCTTTCCTGTGACGGAGGCGTATCCAGGCGCCCTGTCAGGGGTGGCGACGCCCCAAGGGATTTTGCCAGTAAAAGCGGCGCCCCTAGGGACCTATCCAGAGACCGTCCTAGGGGCGGTAGGGCCCCAGGGGTTCTCTTAGGAGCGATGGCGCCACCAGGGACCTTTGCAAACATTGCCCCAGGGCGGTAGCGCCCCCAGGGGCCCTCTCAGTGGCAGCGACGCCCCCTGAGGCACTCCCAGAGCGATGGCGTCCCAAGGGGTCCTCCCAGGAGAGTTGGCGCCCCTATGGTTACTCCCAGGGACAGCGGCGCCCCAGGGGACTCTCGCAGGGATTCTCTCAGGGGCGGCAGCGCCCATACGGATCTTCCCAGGAACGGCAGAGCCTCCAAGGCCCCTCCCAGGAGCGGAGGCAACCCGAGGAATCCTCTCAGGGCGGCGACGCCCCCAGGAGTACTCCCAGGGGTGGTGGTGCCTCCAGAGGCCCAACCAGGGATAGTGGCTCCCCCAGGGTCACTCCCAGTGACAACGGTACCCCCAGGGAAATCTCAGGGACCCTCCTAGAGCGTAGCGGTGGCAAGCCAGGGACCCTAACTTGCTGGGTTAAGGGCCCTATGGTATTGCTCATTCGTTGTGTCATATATATTAAATACTTCCAGCAGTCCCTTACTGAACTATGATTGGTGGTCTATTCCTTCAACCCATCAAATTACAGCCAATAGGAGAAGAGAGCAGTCAGTCAGCACAACACCACAACTTATGTTTTCCTGTTGGATATTATTCTCCGATACCTTATTCAGAGTGCGATGATACTGGAAATGTGATGGGCAGTGTATATTTATTTAACGTTGCATCTCCCAGAGTTCTATATAGCACAAAACTACTGCACCCAGGGGCCACACAGGTCTGGTGCTCCCGGAATTTTCCTAGGGTTGGCGGCGCATCCAGAGGCCTTTTCAGTTACGGCAGCGCCTGCAGGGACCATCATCTGGGCGGTGGCGCCCCAAGGACTCCCAGGGGTGGAGGCGCACCCAGGGACCTTTCCTGTGAAGGCGGCGTCTCCAAGGACCCTCTCAGGGGTGGCGACGCCCCAAGGGATTCCGCCAGTTAAAGTGGCGCCCCTAGGGACCTTTCCAGAGACCGTCCTAGGGGCGGTAGGGCCCCAGGGGTTCTCTCAGGGGCGATGGCGCCACCAAGGACCTTTGTAAACATTGCCCCAGAGCGGTAGCGCCCCCAGGGGCCCTCTCAGTGGCAGCAACGCCCCCTGAGGCACTCCCAGAGCGATGGCGTCCCAAGGGGTCCTCCCAGGAGAGTTGGCGCCCCTATGGTTACTCCCAAGGACAGCGGCGCCCCAGGGGACTCTCGCAGGGATTCTCTCAGGGGCGGCAGTGCCCCCACGGATCTTCCCAGGAACGGCAGAGCCACCAAGGCACCTCCCAGGAGCGGAGGCAACCCAAAGGGGCCCTCTCAGGGCGGCGATGACCCCAGGGGTACTCCCAGAGAGTGGTGGTGCCTCCAGAGGCCCAACCAGGGACAGTGGCTACCCCAGGGACACTCCCAGCAACAGCAATACCCCCAGGGAAATCCCAGGGACCCTCTTAGGAGCGGTGGCGCCGCCAGGGCCCCTTCCAGGGACCCTACATTGGGTTGCCAAGGGCCCTATGGCATTGCTCATTCGTTGTGTCATATATATTAAATACTTCCAGCAGTCCCTTACTGAACTATGATTGGTGGTCTATTCCTTTAACCTACCAAATTACAGCCAATAGGAGAAGAGAGCAGTCAGTCAACACAACACCACAACTTATGTTTTCCTGTTGGATATTATTCTCCGATACCTTATTCAGAGTGCGATGATACTGGAAATGTGATGAGCAGTGTATATTTATTTAACGTTGCATCTCCCAGAGTTCTATATAGCGCAAAAATTACTGCACCCAGGGGCCACACAGGTCTGGTGCTCCCGGAATTTTCCTAGGGTTGCCGGCGCATCCAGAGGCCTTTCAGTTACGGCAGCGCCTGCAGGGAGCATCCTCTGGGCGGTGGCGTCCCCTAGGACTGCCCCAGGCGTGGCGGCGCACCCAGGGACCTTTCCTGTGAAGGCGGCGTCTCCAAGGACCGTCTAAGGGGAGGCGACGCTCCAAAGGATACTCCCAGGTACAGCAGCGTCCCTAGGGACCTCTCGAAAGACCGTTGCAGGGGCGGTAGCACCCCCAGGGGTTCTCTCAGGGGCAACGGCGCCACTAGTGGTTCTCTCAGGGGTGGTGGCGCACCGAGGAACCCTTTCAGGGACGGCGTGGCCCACCAGGGACCATCCAAAGAGTGGTAGCATTCCTAGAGCCCACTCAGGGGCGGTAGGGCCCCAGGGGTTCTCTCAGGGGCAACGACGCCACTAGTGGTCATCTCAGGGGTGTTAGCGCACCGAGGAACCTTTCCTGTGACGGTGGCGTATCCAGGCGCCCTCTCAGGGATGGCGACGCCCCAAAAGATTCTGCCAGGTACAGCGGCGCCCCTAAGGACCTTTCCAGAGACCGTCCTAGGGACGGTAGGGCCCCAGGGGTTCTGTCAGGGGCGACGGCGCCACCAAAACCTTTGCAAAGACCGCCCCAGGGCGGAAGCGCTCCCAGGGGCCCTCTCAGTGGCAGCGACGCCCCCTGAGGCACTCCCAGAGGTGATGGCATCCCAAGGGGTCCTCCCAAGAGAGTTGGCGCCCCTATGGTTACTCCCAGGGACAGCGGCGCCCCAAGGGACTCTCGCAGGGATTCTCTCAGGGGTGGCAGCGCCCAGACGGATCTTCCCAGGAACGGCAGAGCCTCCAAGGCACCTCCCAGGAGCGGAGGCAACCCGAAGGGGCCCTCTCAGGGCGGCGATGCTCCCAGGGGTACTCCCAGAGGGTGGTGGTGCCTTCGGAGGCCCAACCAGGGACAGTGGCTACCCCAGGGACACTCCCAGCAACAGCAATACCCCCAGGGAAATCCCAGGGACCCTCCTAGAAGCGGTGGCGCGGCCAGGGACCCTTCCAGGGACCCTACCTTGGGTTGCCAAGGGCCCTATGGCATTGCTCATTCGTTGTGTCATATATATTAAATACTTCCAGCAGTCCCTTACTGAACTATGATTGGTGGTCTATTCCTTTAACCTACCAAATTACAGCCAATAGGAGAAGAGAGCAGTCAGTCAGCACAACACCACAACTTATGTTTTCCTGTTGGATATTATTATCCGATACCTTATTCAGAGTGCGATGATACTGGAAATGTGATGGGCGGTGTATTTATTTAACGTTGCATCTGCCAGAGTTCCTTATATCGCAAAAACTACTGCACCCAGGGGCCCGACAGGTCGGGGGCTCCCAGAATTTTCCTAGGGTTGGCGGCGTTTCCAGGAGCCCTTTCAGGGACCGCAGCTTACCCAGGGACCGTCCCAGGGATAGTGGTGCCCGAATGGACCTTCCCAGGGTTAAGGGCTCCCCCAGGGACCTTTCCAGGGGTGGTGGCGGCCCCAGGGGCCCTCTCAGGAGCGACGGCGCCCCTAGGGATACTCTTAGGTACAGCTGGGCCACCAGGGACTTTCCAAAGACCGTCCCACGGGGTGTAGAGCCCCCAGGGGCTCTCACTGGGGCGATGGCACTACCAAGGGTCCTCCCATTAGTGGTGGCTGCCCCAGAGACCTTTTCGCGGGCGGCGTGGTCCCCAGGGACCCTCCCAGGAGCTGCTGCTGAACCACAGGGCGCACAAGTTACCTCAAAAAATTATATATATATATATATATATATATATATATATATATATATATATATATATATATATATATATATATATATATATATATATATATATATATATATATATATATATGTATATATATATATATGCAAATAAATCACTGTAGGTGCGCGTGATCCAGGTATATGCTGATAACCACAAGGAAAAAGAAAACACGAAGTTCCCAAGCGCTTTCGTGTAATTCACATCTTCAGGGGTGAGTACAGACTGAGTAGAAATGCAGAACAAGTTATATATATACAGAGGAGGGTGAGATCAAGTCTATAGAGGTCAAGTATAGGTATATATATATATATATATATATATATATATATATATATATATATATATATATATATATATGTATATATATATATAAATGATTATTCCCTACAACTCCCACAACTAGGATTAATCCTCTACACCTCCCACAACTAGGATCTACAACTCCTTCTAACCAGGATTACTCCACATCTCCCACAACTAGGATTAATCCCTCTACAACTCCCACAACTAGGATTAATCCCTCTACAACTCCCACAACTAGGATTAATCCCTCTACAACTCCCACAGCTAGGATTAATCCCTCTACAACTCCCACAACTAGGATTAATCCCTCTACAACTCCCACAGCTAGGATTAATCCCTCTACAACTCCCACAACTAAGATTAATACCTCTACAACTCTCACAACTACAAAAAATCCCCCCATTTGGATTTACCACCCATTACAAAATAAACACAATGCAAGATGGAGTTAAAAATATATATAAAAAAATCCCCCCCCCCCACCCACCCTCACACTAATATATACAACAGAGATAATTTATTCAGTGGTCGGCCTTTCCCGTCACCTGACCGACAATCCTCATCCCCTTTACAGATTGGACGGAATAAATACCCCTTCACCTCAGGCAATAAGTCATTCCTCATATAGACGATTTTTCAACACGATCCGATATTGAAAAGGGGTCAGGAGAAGGAGGGGTGGTGAGGGTGGGGTGTAGGAGTGGGTGGGGTGGGGGATGGGATGAGGTGGGGTGGAGGAGGGGTGGGGAGGGAGGGAGGGAGGGGAGGAGGGATGGTGAGGGGGGGATGGGAGGGGGGTGGGGAGAGGGTGGGATGGTGAGAGGTGGGATGAGAGAGGGGTGGAATGAGATTGGGATGGTGGAGTGGGTGGGATGGAGAGCCGAAGATGGATTATGTGGTGTGTGTGGGATGAGGGTGGCGGGGAGTGGGTGTCTGGAGGAGAAGTGTGGATGATGGAGTGGTGTGTGAGGGATGAGAGGTGGGTGAAGAGGTGTTTGGTGGGGAAGGGAAAGGTGGTGAGTATGGATGAGTCTGTGAGGAGAGGAGGAGGATGATGGGTGAGCAAGGATGACTGTGTGTAGGGGGATGAGGTGTGAGGAAGGATGAGGGAGCAGTGATGTGTCAGTGTGATACATTTACTCACCACTGAAATAACTATCTACAATATTTAACTCAATGGAGCAGGAACACCATAAGTAAAGAGACGTCACACAATACACAATAAATAACACTGTAATCAACACTATTATCGCATCATATAACCTCGGTTGCGACGGTTGTTCAAAATCTGATTGACTTTTACTGAATGGTTGACCAAACACCAAAACCTCGAATGAATGAGTCAAGCATGAACTAAATTTTCATCTCAACCATTCAGTAAGATGGTCCAGTGTGGCGACGTCTGGTAGTCCCCATCATACTTTTGCCCTCAACCACTAGATGGCGACACGTACCAGAAAACACTACGGGACCTCTGTTTTTTACATGGTGTAGGTAGATGATTACATGTAGGAATCAATGGAATATCATACACAAAATATACAAATAACACAATATACAGTATATACAAATGGACTTCAATTACCACGTGTCGTAAAACGGAGAGAGAGAGAAGAGAGAGAGAGAGAGATTGTTCCCTGTGACTTACAAGGAAGATGAATGTTGATGTAATGTAATTGTGGCTCTCTCTCTCTCTCTCTGCGTCAGCAATTTGTGTTTTTAATTTCATGCTTTTTAAATAGTTGGCCCCGCAACCTGCCAGTCTCTGGACACACACACACACACACACACACACAAACGGTCTTTAACTACTGATCGTTAAGATGTAGTCATGTTGTTGTTGTTGTTCTTGGCGTTGTTAAGGATACTGGTGCCGTAGTTAGTGTTGATGAAGGAACTGGTGTTCAGGTGGAGGATATCTGTGGTAAGCAACAACAACAACAACAACAACAACAACAACAATAACAATGATAATAATACGAAAGAGACGAGGAGGAGGAGGAAGAGGAGAAAGAGGAGGAGGAGGAGCAAGAGGGAGAGGAGGAGTAAGAGGAGGAGAGGGAGGAGCAAGAAGAGGAGGAGGAGCAAGAGGAAGAAAAGGAGGAGCAAGAAGAAGAGGAGGAGTAAGAGGAGGAGAGGGAGGAGCAAGAGGAGGAGGAGATGTAAGAGAAGGAGAGAGGAGGAGCAAGAGGGGGTAGGAGTAAGAGGGAGGAGGAGAAGAGGAGAAGCAAGAAGAGGAGGAGGAAGGAGCAAGAGGAGGAGGAAGTGATAGAAAATTAATTATACAGTTATGATAAATTTATAAAGCAAATGGAAAATGTTGAATGGATAAATTTATGTAGAAAAAAGAGCGGAAAAACTGTGTTGAGAGAGAGAGAGAGAGAGAGAGAGAGGGGAGAGAGAGAGAGAGAGAGAGAGAGAGGAGAGAGAGAGAGAGAGAGAGAGAGAGAGAGAGAGAGAGAGAGAGAGAGAGAGAGAGAGAGGGGGGGGGGGCATCTCTTCACAGATGCCCCAAAGCGACACAGACTTTCAGGAGCAAATAAGACGTCAGGTAAACCTTCTCTACCTGGGTATGTTAATGGTGGTGTAGTCAGTCAGTCAGTCTAGTCAGTCAGTCAGTCAGTCAGTCAGTCAGGAAGTCATTCAGCCAGTCAGTCATTCAGACAAGTCATTCAGTCAGTCATTCAGACAAGTCATTCAGTCAGTCAGTCAGCCATCCAGTTAGTCAGCCATCCAGTTAGTCAGTCAGTCAGTCACAAACACACACACTACTACTACTACTTTGCAATCATCCAGTTATGATACAATGATATGAGTTATTAAAGATGTCACCTAGGTTGGTGAGCTCTGAGGTGACTAAAGAGGCCGATACGGGACCGGCAGAGTCGTCCACAGATGCGGGAGGGGCGGCGGCAGCATCTCTCCATCGCTGGTGCTTGTCTGCCTGAGTATACAGTCGGGGTGGAGTACTCGCCTCCTAGTCACACAGTAAGACCTAGAGTCACTGACTTTATTAATACATTACTT